AAGGTGTATTACCCTTGAAAATAGCTTGTACTTTCCTGAAAAGATTCTTCTGTCTATGAAAAGAACGTTCGATTTCAGGGTCGAATGGAATGTAAGCTGATCTAGAACTCCTGGGCATAAACACAAAACTAAACAAACAAATATGAGAAACTGTCCCAAAGAACTTGCGTTCTATGAGACAAAAGAAAAATAATCTAGACTACAAAAACAATTAGAAATAAAAATAAAACCGTTTCCCTAGCAACGACGCCAAATTTTGACAGGCTAAAGTCGTATAACCTAATCAAAAGTAATTCCTAAAACCACTAACTAAAATAGATAGGGAAATAGGGTCAAATCCACAAGGAAACAACGTTATTCTATTCCTAATTAATTAATATAATCTAAATTATCAAGAAACAAATAGGTTTTGAATGAATTAATCTAAGGTAGGGTCACAGGCTCACCAATAATTAATACTCCGGGATAAAACATAACAATCAACGATTAATATTGCAAACATAACATGATTAACAAGCTCTTGCAATTTATTAATCAACATAGATCCAACAGGCTTTCGCAATTTACTAGATATAAGTTCCTATTGAAAATAGCCTTTAATATCAAATTAACATCTACTCGATTCATCAATTCAATATTTCTATACTTTTACAATCAAATCACATCTGCTCGATTCATAATCCAATTTTAAAAAAAAATTAAAACAGTTCAATAAGAAATTATCATGCAACATCAATAATCAACCAAAATAATTCATCCCTTCATATTAATTATGGATCCCTCAAGAACCCTAGAAATTAACTACTCACACATATTTAAATCTAAACTAATCAAATCATATAAGGAAAACATGATTGAAACACAAAGCACAAAAATAGCAAAGCAATAGAGATCAAAGCGATAAACAAAACAATAAAAGAGACAAGAAATAATACCGAATGAAGGAAATATGAAATTGCACCAAAAGGGGAAAACTTGAGTTCAACAATAATCTCTCACTAAAATCTCTCAAAAAGTTTAAGAATAACGTAGCTAATAAAGCTTTCAAAAGGGTTTTTATACTAAACCCCCAAATTAACCAAAACGACAAATCATAAAGGACTCCGGAAAAACTCGCGCCCGATCCGAAAAAACTTGCACCTGATCGGGCGAAGGGCCGCCCGATCGGGCCCGCCTTTTTTCCTCTCTCTGCCTTGTTGAGCATCCGCCCAATCGAGCCTGGTCTTTATCTAGGTTTTGGGCTTCAATTACTTGTGGTCCAATTCCTCTTCCTTGGTCCATTACTTGGACCAATTCCACGAACCAGGCCCTTAGTCACCGAAATAATCGGTCTTGGGCTACAAACAACGGTCATGAGTGTGACCACAACTTCGATATCCCGTAGTGGCCGAAAAACCATAGAAATCACCAACAAATCAGGGAAATTCCCTACAAAACAAATGCCAACTCTACAAAACACTCGAAACCACACATTACTATTAAAAATAGCCCCGAGAGCTCAAATATGCATAAAAATGACCGTGAGACGAGGGATAAAATAGCATATAAAACACATATATTACTTACAAGGGTCACAATAATGCAATTTTATTATGTCCTTGTACCCTAAGTTGTCATTTATCTTTCTCATTCCATCAGCAATAAAAAAAAAAAAAAAAAAGAAAAAACCCTAACTAACTCCCTAACATATTCTAAATCTAGTTTTTGTTTCCACTTCCCACCATATAGTTTAATTTGGACAAAACTTAGAAAGGGGTTTCTAGGAATTTGTTAAAGGTTTTAAGAGGTTTTAGTAATCAAATATGCTAAAAGAAAATAAACACAATATCCAAATAAAACGAATTAAGAGCAATAAAATAATGAAATTATAATATGGATTATAAATCAAAGAACAAAGACCAAAGTAAAAGAGACATTTCTGAGTACCGACGAAGTAATATAAGAGATTCTAGTATTAAAGTATAGTAAATTGTATTAGACAATGTATGAATGATTTCTATTACAAAGAGCTAACTATTTATAATAACTTGTAAAATCTAGTAAAGGTAATTATTGAAGGATCTTTAATGTTTTGGCAATGTTGATAATATTGATTGGCATCTTCATCTTTTAGAAAATGTTGACTTAGTTGATTGATATTTCCTTGATTCGCTCCTTCAATCATGGGACATAATTGTACTTGTTGCAAAGCATTCATTACGCGTCATCAAATGGTCCGAGCTTTGAAGGGAAGTTGCCTTTCTCAAAAAGGCTCAGAAAGGCGGACGACTTACTCAAAAAGGTGCAGTTAAGTCCGTACTGTCCGTACTCAGTTGGGACCACTACGCGAATAATATTTCATCAATCAAGGGCTTTGTTTCCTGATTTAGCTTTAATTGATTGATTCCATAGTCTTGATTGATTTCATAAGATCTTTAATTGATTGTTGACTTCTTGATTGGATCAATCAAATCCTTGATTGATGAGCTATGATTCCATTGATATCTTTAACCATGCATATTTTCCTTATTATGTATAAGTGAAGTCAAATATTGTATTCTATGAGAGTGAGGGATAGCTCAAGTGGTTAGAGCTTCCCTCCCGATTCCATGAGATCCTGGTATCGATTCTCACCCCCGCCCTTGTGGCTCTCTAAACACCAAAAAATAAATGTATTCTATAATTGATCATTTGATTAATCTTTTCCTAATTTGTAGGTTGCTAGAATCCGCTCCCAACACATATTGCACAATAATTGTCATAAGAATGACATCCATTATCTACAGTACAAATACATCAGAAAATACCATATACATGATTATTTACAATGCTCTAACAATCCAAGTGCACAAAAATATAAAATTATACCCAAACAAATAACAGAATTCAATTACACAAAAATACAACCATCTAACCTAGGACAAAATTCAAGCAATTTAGGAGTAAGTACCACATTATATACCCAAACAAATAAATAATTAACAAAGAATTGTAAGATCTTTTATACATAATTTAGATTTTTAATTTTTGACCAAAATTACACAACTTTAAATCATAATTACGAATTCAACCAACACTTAGGCCCTGTTCAGTTCACCTTAAAAAAAAATATTCAGTAAAAATAATTTCAATTTAATAAAAATAAGTTCATTTTAGTTAAAATAATTTCAGTTTAGTAAAAATAATTTCAATTTAGTAAAAATAAGTTTAGTTCAGTAAAAATAATTTCAATTTAGTAAATTTAATTTCAATTCAGTAAAAATAATTTCAATTCAGTAAAAATCAGTAACTCTATAGAAGAAATATAATTGAGAATCAGTAAAAAATAATTTCAGTTCAGCAAAATTAATTTCAGTTCAGCAAAAATAATTTTAGTTCAATAAAATTAGTTTTAGTTCAGCAAAAATAAGGTGAAGTGAATGGGGCCTAACAGAAAATGCACTACAACAATTAACTAAGTATAAGTCAAAAGTTCAACCAACAATTAACAATTAACCCTAAATCTTAACTTTGTCTGTATACAAATTATGAAAAAAAAAAAACAAAAAACAAAAAGAAGTTATCTCATATCCTTACCATAGCAAAATGCTTCAAGAATTTTCGATGAAAAAGGTTTTTTAAATTAGCTTTGCTCTAAAATCTTGAGCGTGAAAGATGGAGGAATAAGTTCTGTTTAGGTGTTCGTGGGTAAAGGAACAAAGAAAAAAGAAAGAAATAGTTAATAGGAGTATAACTACGTCCTCATGTAATGTGGCAAAAAGATGAAGGGTGTAGGTTTTTTCTTCCCCTTTTTGATTACCTGATTTAAAAAAATTATATAAAAAAAATCATTAGTTAATGAGAAGGATCCAACTGTTATTATATATTTTTAATAGAGAAGGATCCAACTTGTTTAACTACGAGTTTAACTTTTTGGGAGAGGATTAATTAATTTGGTAGGGAAAAAAAAAGTCAGACCCCAAAAACTAAGTAAAATTAAGTTAAAAGTTGGACCCATTTGTGGTCTTAACTTATCAAAAAATATAAAAATAAAGTTTAAAATTTGAATGATAAATGTACGTGAAATACTTTCAAGAAAACAATACCTCCATATTTAAGAATTCATAAAGCCCAAAAGCTTAATAAATATAATTAATAAATTGGTTTAAAATTTTAGGGTATTACATTATAAACTAATTGATTTTGCAACAAATCACATAAAATAGTGTTTATGGGAAGAGAAAAGTCATAAATGCGTTTTTGGTAGTTGATATACACACTTATATTTAATTTGAAAAATCATCTTTCTAATCTTTGAATTTGGATTTTGTTGGAAAGATACAAAAAATTGAAAAGAATAAAAAATGATGTCATAAGCAATTTGGTGGGAAATTTCTTAAAGAAAAATTAATTTGTATAAAGATAATGTCAGCGGTTTTTTACTTTAGTAATAGTTATAAATTTTCACTAATTACAACTTAGATTACTGAATGTTTGTAACCATCAGTTTTTAAACATTCCCACTAAAATAGGTGCGAAAACGTGATACGCTTGATAATGATGACACATTGATTAATTGACTAACATAAATCCTGTCCAATTTTACTGAACGCGTTTTGATATTGTTAACTCTCCATATTCAGTATCTATAACTTGTGATAAATTTCTCTAATAGATAAACAAAGTATCAAATACAATAAATATAATCTCTAATAATTGCATCTCTATGTATCTATACACTATTATGAATACACAAGTGTATGAATACAATATGTAACTTGAGGAACTTAAAAATTGCATAGTTATTCTTACAAGTCAAAAATTGATGAAAATTTATCATCTCATGTGCAATTAATAAGTATTACATGAATCAATCACGGGAATAATAAGTTCAATAAATTAGGTAGCCATAAATAATGCGTTACTAAACTAAATATGATATGTGGATCAACAAATCCCGTGCATTAACGCTTGTACCTTTTATATTTTGGAAAGTTTAAGCAAAATAAGCATCACCAAACAAGATAAAATGACATCTATGCCTGAGGTGGTTTCTTACGGATAGAAACTTGGATTTTCTCGTGAAACAAATGAAATAAAACATTATTCCTATTTAATATATCCAGTGCATTAACGTGTGTAACTTTCGGAAAATTTTAAGCAAAAAATGCATCACCAATTCACCAAACAAGACAAAAAGGGAAAACTGAGGAGTAAGGAGTTGAATTAGCAGGGAAGAGAGAGAGAAAGATGAGCAATCATGGCGATGGAGCTGGTGGTATGACGTTATTAGTATATGTAGAGAATCTAGTGATAATAGTAAGCTTAGTTATATTTGCTGGTCTGATGGCTGGTCTGACCCTCGGTCTCATGTCTCTCGCTCTTGTTGACCTTGAAGTCCTCATCAAGGCTGGCCGTCCTCAGGATCGTATCCACGCTGGTCCCCACTTTCTCTCTCTTTCTTTCTTGAATTCATCATATTTCATTGTTATTGTTGTTGTTGCTGATTTTGCTGTTGTTTATTTTATGCTAAATTCAACCTTGTTTTTGGGTTTTTCTTGTTGGGGTTATTTGGATTGGATTTAGCAATACTTACCCTCTTCATCGAGTTTTACTTGTTGCGTTACTAGTTCAAATTATATTATTGATGCCAGGGTTTTTCGAGGAATTAATTATTTTCCAGATAACAGTACTTTTATTTATTTAAACAAATGATCAAACAGTTTTTCAATTTTTGGGGTTTATTTTTGGTGGGTTTATTTGAATTGGGAAACATGATGATTAATATATTGTGTTATGTTCCTAGAGGAATTAATTATCCTTTTCGGGACAATACTTTATTTGTTTATTAGTTGAATGATCAAACATATTTGACTGCTGATGCTGAATTTTGAATTGGTACCAAATTTTATATAGTTTGCTACTGTATGTATGTGGATTATGGAGTAAACTATTTTATCAAGAAAGATGGGATTTTTTCAGAGGATTTTTTTTTGGGTTTTATATGATTTGACAGGAAAGTTTTCCTTTACTCTGATTGAAAAGGTTCAATTTGGTACCATGCTCTATTTATGGAAAATAATTGGTCATTTTTATTAGATGATTAATCATTGGAATGTTTTGAAATTGGACTGTCCCCTTATTCTTACAAAGCGAGTCTTAACCAGAACAATATATTTGACATGATTGGTATAAGAAAGGAGGGCTTATTGGATGGTTGAGTGATGGATGGTTGTTTTTTTTTGCTATCATCCCACTGACTTGTTATGACCCATCTTTCTTTGGCAGCGAAAATATTTCCAGTGGTAAAGAATCAGCATCTCCTGCTCTGTACTCTTCTTATTGGGAACTCTTTGGCAATGGAGGTATGAGACAATAATTTGAACCAGTGTTGATTCTAGCCTCTAGCTATCTAGCTTTGATTATATCGACTTGTGTTTTACTAATTTTTGCAGGCTCTTCCCATATTTTTGGATAAACTTGTCCCCCCATGGGCTGCAATTGTGATATCAGTAACTCTGATTCTTATGTTTGGTGAGGTGAGAGATTTTTCTCAATTTTTATACTTCGTATAAAAAACCTTTGGTTTGCATACAATGCTTTATTGTTTTTATTTGCCTCTTTCCTTGTAGATATTGCCACAGGCAGTTTGCACACGCTATGGGCTAGTGGTTGGAGCTACATTGGCACCCTTTGTTCGTGTATTACTTTGGTTATTTTTCCCCATTTCTTATCCAATTAGTAAGGTAAGATTCTGTTTGGAAAAACTAATGCATATGATGAGGGCAAGTATGATTTGTAGGTTTTTAATTTGAGTACATTCGCAATACGGCTTTAAATTGTCTACAACAATGCCTGCTAGTGAATGATTGTTGTACCTTTAGATTACTTTAACTAGATCTTTGGATCACACGAAGGGTAAACAAGAGCGAAGTACTCGACAAGCATGTGTTAGGCTCTTTTGTACTTAGCTTATCTAAATAAGTTATAACAAAATTAAGTGTAGCAAAAATAAGTTTAGCTAAAAATAAGGAAAGAAATTTTTTATTTATTTATTTTTTTGATTTTTTGCTACTTTTTAACCATTTTTTCCAGCAAAAGCAGAAAAGAATGTAGCCTTAGTATGCACAAGGTAGATCAGGTGGATTCTAACACTTAAGAAAAGGGATCATCTTGTAATTTGAGATCTAGTCAATTGGTCAAGGGAAAAAGGGTTGGGGGGTTTGAGTTTGTTTGTAGGGAATGTGGTGTCCAAGAATGTCCATGTACTTGTTGAACTTTGCTGCCTACAGTCCTGGAAAAATTTATCTGTAACTGTCTTTACAGGTCGACATTTGTTTTGGAATCTTCATTTTCTATGGAAATTTATATGTAAGGTAATTGGGTGATGTGTCTTGCCTATAAAGATTTGAAGATTTTATGTTTACTTTGGTCATCTTGATCAAAGAATTTGGCTTGCTCAATCATCAGGTCACATTTTGTTTTTTTGCTTTTAAGTCTTTTTGAAAAAACTTAAGATCATTGAATGTTTGGAAGCTAAAGGTTCCAATAAAATTCAAGGCTTTCATTCTCAAAACAAGATGTAGGCGTAATTATTTGCTTCTGTAGTAGTCTACAAGAGCCATATCTCCTAGTTTATGTAACACTCTTTTTTTGGTTGTTGGTTTAGTAATAAAAATATTAATTAGAAAGATACAAAGGGGGTTTCACCCATATACAAAAAGAGACCTAAGGAAAGAAAAAAAAAATCATTCTCTTAAGCCTTTCTGAAGCAGTGTTTGTGATCACGTTTTATGTATATGCAGAATCTGATGCTTATCTCTTCATTTGCTGCAAGATAGCTGATACTTTTTGGAAGTGATAAGCATCAGATGAAGCATTAAAAGGAGAATTCTGGTTCTGCTCTGCCTTTATGATCGGCCACAAGCAAGATGGGTTGGTTTCTTGAGACCATTGAAAGGTGCTTTAGAAATATGTTTTTTCTGACAGTAATTTGAGTGCTTTTGGCTGAAGTGATGACTTTATCTTTCATGATTAAGTATTTAAGTTAGTTTGGTGAAGGTGTTATGGACTTTTGGGATCATTTGGTGTTTTAGCCTCTGTGTCATGTGGCATTGTGTGCTTCTCCTACAAATTTACTTTCAGATTTCCTTTGTTCTTTTTCTATGTACGATAGCTTTCCCTCTGTTTCAGCTTCTTTAATTTTTTGTTCTTTAATTTTTTTTATGAAATAAATTTCTTATCTAAGTGTAAACATCTTTCGTGAACACAAGCCTTTTATTAGACTACTAATAACTGCTCTAGATAAGCTATGAAAGTGGCATTGGCATTGCCGAATTTAGATCATAATGTCCTTCCCTAATTAATAAAATTACTTTTCATCCTTAGCTAGAGTTCCATAATTGAGGATGAACCGTAAGTTATAAATCTTGTCTGAATCAGCAGGCACTCTTTTCTTATATTAATATTATCTTCCCTCTTGAAATTAGGTTCTAGACTGGATGTTGGGCAAGGGACAGACTGCACTCTTACGAAGAGCTGAGCTTAAAACTTTTGTTAATTTTCATGGGAATGAGGTATACTTGTTCGAACTCCCTTGCAAAAGAGTCATCTCTGATTTACCTCTTGTCCCCAATTTTGGTGGAACTTGATGACATTTTGCTAACAGTTGGCCTTACATTGCTCTAAATGTTTGTTAAATAGGCTGGGAAAGGTGGGGATTTAACACATGATGAGACTACTATCATAACAGGTGCACTTGAAATGACTGAGAAGACTGCAAAGGATGCCATGACCTTGATATCGAAGGCATTTTCCCTTGATCTGGATGCAACTCTTAATTTGTGGGTCTATTGCTGATTTTGAGTCTTAGATAGTGGCTCACACAGTCTTCATTTCTCTAATATCATTTTTCCTCTGCAGGGAAACACTTAATGCTATTATGGCAATGGGACACAGTAGAGTTCCTGTTTATTATCAAAACCCATTGAACATAATCGGATTAGTCCTGGTATTTCCTTTTCTATATCATGTTATGCTTCACCTAGAGTTGCAACTTATGTAAATATCAATTCCATTTTTTCTAGATTGCTTATTTGTTGACAAGTTCTCATTATTATCTGTACTTTGGTTGCTTGCATAGTATCTGTCACATATCACCTGCATTAGATGTTTCAAAATTGAAAGATGGCTTTTGATTTTCTTGTAATGAGAAGACTACTCTGCATACTCTCATATGTTATAAAAAGTAAATATTAGATCATTATCCTAGATCCTATGGGTATTGTTCTTTGTGGGTGTTAGTTTATAAATTTTAGGTATCATATATGGGTTTGGAATCAACTAAATTCAAGCCTATCGCTCAATTCACTACTATACAAAAAACTGAAACCAGTGGAGCTCACTCTCTACACCCACTAGGTACGGGGTTTCCATTCTCGAGGGGGGAGGTGGGGTTCATCCAAACCCCCACCTCTGAATCAAAGTTTTTTATTTAACCTTATAATTAATGGAACTGTAATATACTGGATGTTCAAACCCCAACAAGCAAATTCCATAGCCTGCTCTCCTCCATTGCTATATCGTTGTCACTTGTCAGACTTTCTTCTTGCACAATCACATGCTGATGCCACCACCACAGAAACCAAAACAGCTGCCACTATCTTCTGAAAGCCTACTAATGGTGATAATATAGGAGTATCTAGCAGGTCTTCTTTCCTTGGTTATGTTTTAACAATTAGAAGAACTTGTGGACTGGTGTTGGAGCTTGCTGGTGGCTGTCTTGATCGGTTGATACAGTGGCCTTAGCTTGACGTGAGAAAAAAGAGGATAGGAAGGTAGAAGGGTTGCCAGAGTCTAGACTACATAACTTTTTAAATCTGATTTTTTATTTGTTTGTTTGTATGTTTGTTTGTTTGTTTTTTTTTTTTTTTAATTTAATTTTTTAATTTATATCTGTGATGGGCTCCAGGAAAAAGAGAGTTTTTATATACATTTTTCAAAATCTTTTATCCTATTGCAAAATGGTGGATTTGAACCTAACACTAGGTATTAAGTGTAGATTTTCTGGAATGAAATATCTCAAATCCATGGGTTTGATGTTAAAATCCACAATGACACCTAGTGCTGAACCAAACAGGGCCTGATAGATTTAGATCAAGTTGATACTGGCATATTTTTTTTCCTTATTACACATTCTCGCTTTCTGTTTTTTTTTTTTTTTTTTGTATTTATTCTTAAATGTTCCCTAAGACCTCTAACAGTCGTTACCCATTTGTAGCAGTGGGACTAGGAATATCTAACTTTTGGAAAGTAGTATGATCTGCGACAATGCTGTGATAATTATGCGACTGCTCTTCAATCAATTAAGTTATTGTGTTTAAGGAATTTCTTTCTTCTACTCCCTACATTCTTAATTGTTTGCTCCATTTCCTTTTCTTGGAGTCGAAGTTCATCAACTTTGATTGTAAATTCCCATTGATATATATGAACAAAATATAGTTATGTGGAATCTCTTAGGTTTGTTTGAATATATTTTTTCAAAATATCGGTTTTGTAAACTTTTACTAGCACACCATCAAAGTTTTTAATAGTCGAACATGTTCTTGACCGTCAAATGGACCTAACGTGACAAATTCAATATTTATTACTAACACATTATAATGGACCGAACACAGTATTCCTCTCAAACTTAATAATGAATGCGACAAATTCCCTGTCGGAGACATCTCCCGGGTTATACATAGTCCTCCTTTTACCTTACTTATGTGGCACTCTTTGGCAGAATATCCATTAAAGTTGTATCTTTAAGATACATATGCATTCTTTTTCCTAAAGTTTGCTTTAGGTAATTTTGATATGCAATCTTAATGGACAAATAGGGCATTCCCTTTGATATGGCATGCTATATGGTTTTAGTCTTATGATTCTATGAATAAATTATCTGAAGTGATGGATGTTCAATGGGTCTTTTCACCTTCTACTTTGGAACATATCATGTTTTCTTGTTTATGTTTTGAAAGTAATAAAGGAGTTTCCTTGTGGGATCAACCTGCCTAGCTGCACTTTGGGCTTAAACCAAAGTGCTAGGGTTAACAGCAGCATATGTATTGGATAAAGTGATTTAGCTTGCTTTGTTTTGTTGCCACTCTATAGGGATTTCTCTTAGGCATTTCCTTACATGATGTAAAGTGTGGTAGCCTGATTGGTAAGTCTTTTTCTTCAATGTAATTGTTTGGCTATGACAATTTTTTTCCCTCTGATAGATTTTACTCCTTAGCTAAGAATAATTAATATAGTAATGCCTAATCTTAGACTCTTTCACTAAGAATGCATATGCTCTTATAGTTTTTCTGTTTCAAGTGGTCTAAGAAAGGGAGGTTGGGAATAGTTATTGTGAGCTTCCTCGTCAGGAATGTTGATGGTATTCTTTCTTCATGTTGTCCTTTTGACTGATTTCCATATATAACTTACAAAAGGGTCTCTTGTGAGTTAGTGTACATCCCAAAGATAGGTATCATTGTTAACTGAACCATGGCTTCAAAGCTGTTTTCCTATTGTATAGGATACAATGTCTGTGGGTTATTCTTTGATGCAAGAACATTTTTGGGACAGAAATTTTGTGAATTGTGAGATTGTCAATTTCCTTAGCTAAACTCAACCGTTGAGCATTATTGGCTAATTATCATGTGTCCAATATGATGTTGGGGCGTTAGACTATATATTGATCATTGAAGTAAGGAGCCTAAAGTGTTGTTGCGATCATGGTATTATAAATTGGCTGCACTATATTAGTTTTTTAACATACTATGACGGAGATGTTAGGTTGCAAGCTTGCAACAGCCACAAACTATCCACATTGCCTGCAAAAGTGGTTCTGTTACCATTACAAAATCGCAACCGCATCTGAGTGGAGTGATTGCACTTTGTAGAGGGTTCTGGTAGTAAAGTCCTTGTTTTTCAAGCTGTATAGGTGCCTTTAATCTGGGATCCTTTTTAGCAGAATTCTGTCTCACACTGGCATGATGTGATTGATGCATGTTGCAGGTGTCCTTCCTGGTTTTTTGCTCATATGGAAGTGCTTTTTGTATTCTTAGAACGATACATCTGTATGTATGCAATTTTCTTTGTGTTGCCTTTATATGTTTCATTTTTCTGTCATCTGTACAGGTTAAAAATCTTTTAGGTGTTGACCCTGATGAAGGAGTGCCTCTAAGAAAGATGACCATTAGAAAAATTCCCAGGTAATAGGACTTTCTTGATATATTTTTTTCTTTCTTTCTGTAAAGGTATGTGAATTCAACCATTTGACCGAGTCTCCTAAAAGAAAATACTATCCAAAAGGTTAGATTATGTTAAACTTGATATTATAGTACCCAGTTGGCAAATATCAGTTGTTTACTAGTCACTATATTAGGTTGTTCGGAATAGCAAATAACTTTAGAAGGGCGCCCTAATCAAATGTTTAGAATCCATTTTGAGAAGATGGACAAGGTTATCATCATGGTGTTGCTGTTGGTGGTGGTGGTGGGGTTTTTTTTTTTTTTTTTTTTTTTTTTTTTTTTTTGGTGAATTGCATATCTAGTATGAGAGTTTCATCATCATTAGTTCTTACAAATTAATTATGAGTAATTGCCTTAACATATGTTGCATAATATCTAGCAAGGCTGCATGCTTGGGTGTTTCTGAATTGTTAGAGACACAATGAACTTTTACTGAATAGAGCTTCTGAGAGGAGGTTTTTTTTGCAATACAGTGCTACTTCATAAGGTTTATCTAGGAACTGTTCTGCTTTTCATGCTTGTGCCAATTTTAAAGAATAAAGCTTGCTAATTTAGTTTGAGCTCTATAATAAGCATATAGTTGACTTCTTAGTACTTACTGCTTGAGCTGGAAGATATCCTTCAGAACCAAGTACTGGTATGACCAATATTGGCCACCTAATGCAACTTTCACCAAAAAGGTTGGGAGGTTAGGAAAGCAAAAAGTATATTTTAACCATAAGCAGGAACTGAAAGCTAAAAAGTAGAGTGGAGCAAAAAAAATGCATTTCCTACTTACTAACATACTTACATAAATACATACTTAAAGTGTTTTATCTATCTACAGTCTGTTGGTGTTCTGCTTGTTTCATTAGAGGTGTTTGCCAGAGGACTCTTGTTATCTAAAAGTTCCTGAGTTAAACTGTCATTTTTTTTAATGATGATGATGACGATGACGAAGCTGTTTCCATTTCTGCAAAATGAAAGAAAAATGACAGGTTTTCAAAAATATTGGAGGTAGAAAAATGATTAAACACGTTTACAAATCTTTGTTGGAAATACGAATCTTTGGTGCCCATGTACTGTGTTTTTGGTTATGTTACAAATTATTATGTTGGACATGATGTTTCAACATAGATAATTAATATGGACATTTGACACGTCATTTTGGCCCAAAAAAATGCAAGCTTTTTATAAATTGTCTTACACTTGGACAGGAAAGTATAAGTTAAAATGGGTGTAGACCAAGTGATGTTATGTACACTCTATGTTCTTACTTTGATTATTGTTTTTCTTTTACCCCTTTCTTTAGAATCTCCTTTTCCTTTTCCTTAAAACAACTTACATTCCTTTTTTTATTTGGTGTCTAATTGATTCACATATGTCCAATGTCTTAATTTGTAGTCACTTATCTTGCTTTTTTTGGTACTACAGGGTTCCTGAAAGCATGCCACTGTATGACATCCTGAACCAGTTTCAGAAGGGCCACAGTCACATTGCCGTTGTTTACAAGGATTTAAATCAGACAAATGGAAAGCCTCTGGATGGTAAGTTCAGGAGCATTGACTATGTAATAAAGGGGATTGAATGAGAAATGCTGGGAAGGGTACTAGTGTGTGTGTGTGTGTGTGTTTTTTTTTTTTTTTTTTTTTTTTTTTTTTTTTTTCCTTTTTTAATTTTAAAATACCACAAAAGCTTATGTTAATGAAGAACCCCAAAGTTCTTATCCACGAGCTCACTGTTTAGCTGGTGATTTCTCATACATCCCCAAGTTTGATAAAAGCATAAATCTGTGCTACAGTGAAGCTACGGCAATATACTTTTGCTCAGGTTGATCATATTTAGCTTTGGTCATGAACTCTCCTTAATCTACCAGTTACCACTATAAAGTAATTTACTCATTGACATGAAATGTGGTCCAACTACAACCATTGATATGAACTTGTCTACATATAAAATTAACATAAACCTGGTCACTAAATACATTCAGTGACACAATCTTGATAATTATATAGCAAACATTGTCAATTGGAATGGGTTTTTTAGTGACAAAGTTTACACCAATGTGTCTATGTTGACCAGTTTATGCCACTGAGTGTAAAACCAGACCAGATTAGATCAGAATATATTAATTTCAGATCAGATTAGGTGAAGTGAACATATCTTTAGTGGCTAAATTAAGGTTATTTATATGTACAGACAAGTTCTTGTCAATGGCTGTATTCAGACCCTAGTTCATGTTAATTGATGATAATAATATAAATACGATCTCATTGAATGCATTACAATTAATTTGAAACGAAATAAATAAATTTTTCAAAGTTTGGATATTCTCATGCCGGGGACCCTCATGTTATATTGCAAAAAATTTTGAATTAGAGTTGATGAGCCTCTGAAGTCTTAATATTCAATATTACTACAACTGTGTTCTTTTTTATATTTAAATTAATTTTTAAACCAAAGTTAATTAGCCAATTAAAACAAATATTGATGCAACTACTACTAATTGACCTGATATTAATTTATTTTAACTTGTTAGCTGTAAAACTAACGTTTTAAAATTCTTTTTCCTGAAATAAGCTGTTTTGAATTGAAGAGATCAAAGTCTAAAATCTTGTGATAATTCTGGTAATTCTCAGAGCATGATAGTTCAGGTAGTGATGTAGTCCAGCCAAAGGCGACAGATGTGTATGCACTTACTAATGATGGTGGAGTTCAGAAAGTGCAAAAAATTCCTGTTACTACAACCCTCAAACGACATAAAGGTTGCTCCTTCTGTATTTTGGATGTTGAGAACGTGCCTATTCCAGAATTTCCTCCTAATCAAGTTGTGGTTGGTGTGATTTCCATGGAAGATGTAATTGAAGAACTGCTCAAGGTATGTAGTAATTCTTATACATGATTTGTGTCATTAAGGCATACCTTTGTGAGCTACATGATCTAGTAATAACTTAGAATCACTTATGGGCTTATGGCACACACGGTCTGCTTTAGTAAAGGAATCCAATGGCAGAAAGAAGATTTTATCTGTTGATTTTTACAGTGTTATATGATCCTGTTGCTTTATTGATTTGTATGCACTCTAAAAATCCAGGCTTTATGTAAACCAAGCTCTAGTATGGAATCAACTTTCTTTCCTAAGACTAACATCTTTTTTTACTTTAGAATGGAGGCAGAAATGAGTTAGGGAAATCCTCTGGAAGAACATGGCATAGATTAAATTATCCCTGATAGGCCAAACCATTAAGTTAGTGCACTAAGGCTATCATGAGCAATATATAATCAATTGGGTCAGCTAATTTGTTCGTTGACTATCTCTAGGGCCTAAGGTATGAGGAAGGTATATTTAACATAATAGTGATAAATTTAATAAAGAGAGCTAGAAATGGAAGAAAATTTTGCAATTGAACATGCTGAGGGAGGCTGAAATGAAAATTCCTACATATATCATAATCTCAAGATTGAATCTGAGCAACTAGATTGACTTAGGTCCATTGAAAGGATCTTTAACATGAAGGCAATGAAATTTATTCAGGAGTTAAGCTCCTATTATCGTATAAAACTGAAGCAAATAAAGAACTAAATATATCCAATATTAAGTTATGGGAAAACATTAAGTAGTATTTACAAAAGTATTTTCTTCATAATGACTTTGTTCAAAATCTCTGCATTAAAGTCCTAGCATAATGCAGGGAACAATTGAGCTTAAGGTGTATGTAATAGTCAGAACCAGTTGTGCTAGATGTGTGGTATTTCAAAGAAGCCGGAGCAAAGAATAGATCATTTCTTTGGGGGTCTTGAATCTCTTGACCCTAAGATTGGCCGATTGATGTTCTCTTAAAGTCTTAATTCTATGGATGCATTGAATAGACCAGTCTTTTTGATTCAGCTAATAATTTTGTAGCTCCCTTCAAGCATCTTTATCTGTCAGCCCCAATTGTTCTTATTTGCTTCTATTCCCGTTTCTAATTTAATCTCTCATTGCTTTACTACAGGAGGAAATTTTGGATGAAACTGATGAATATGTAAACATCCACAATCGGTATATCATAACATTACCTTACTTCTACATGAACTTGTTATTCTTTGTTTTTTCTGCAATAAACACTACATAGCTAACTGGAAGATTACAATTTTGGCTCTTTTCAGTTTTACACTTATCTCAATTTATTGTAACTTATTTTGTACAATAAACGAAATAATGTAAGAACCAAAGGGCATATACGCATATAAGTTGATTAGGAGTCCTAAAATTGAACAACATCAACAACAAAGCCTTAGTCCTGAAATGCCTATAAAATTGAACATCTCAAAGAAAATTGAGGCATGCCAGTTGTGTTGAATCAGATCATTGGTGTCAAGGATCAATGTGTGTTTTTTTCTCCCTGCAATAACAGGATCAAAGTCAACATGAATGCATCGCATGAGCAGCTTCCTGGCATAAGTTCTGAACAACCTTCTTGAGATACCTCATCTACTACTTGCGCACAACAGTAGTGACTGGCTTAAATAGGACCGCGATGAGTAAAGCTTCTGAGGCGGATGTGTTCAGGGAAAGATAATACTGTAAATTAGTGAGATGTATCAGGTGATTGAATTTCTTTTTGTCGCTGCATGTTTATATGAAAATGGTGCTCCAAAATTTACCGAAGAGAATGTAATGCAAGTATGAATGGTAATCTCTGATTGTAGATACGCTCTTCTTTGAACAATTGTACTAGAACTTGTATTTTTATGATATATAATTTGTATCGTAAAAGACAGAAACACATGTATATTTGGAAGATTATATTAATTGATCATCTAATGATTTTTTAGATGATTTCAATGTGTAAAGCTTCCATCTTCCTTTCTTTTTTTTCCCAAGTGTGGTTCAATCAATACTTGCTCAAGACCCAGTGTTACTGAATTAGGACACCCTAAAAATATAACCACGTCTCTATTTAAGGTTATTTGCACCAATTTTATTATTCATATGTTTCAAGTTACTTGCGAATTTTAACCGGTTGTCAATTAATTGATAAGTTTCTCTTTAAACTATCCCAATTTGAAACAATATGAGTAGCTCCTCTTTTGTGTTCTCACTTAACGTTGCTACACTAATTGAGCGGACAAAAATGTAAGAGGGTATAATTTTTCTCCAATATCCATTTTCTGTCAACCACTAAGGCATGACCGCTTAAGCCTTGAGCAATTTTCGCAACTCGGAAAGTAAAGAACACAAAACAAGGTGTTTCTAGTTTTTTTTTTTTTTGGCCTCTTAAGCAATTTTCGCAACTCGGAAAGTAAAGAACGCAAAACAAGGTATTTCTAGTTTTTTTTTTGCCTACTTCGACCTTAAATTTGATTCTAATTTGCGGCTCAAAAACTAAAGCACATAAACCGAGACATTTTCCTTTGTTTAGTTAAGGGTTAATAGGTTAGTTAGGGCCTTAGGGGGTATGACTAGCGGAGAAATGATCATTAGTAATTAAGGGTATTTAGTAAATTATTTAAAAACGTAGTGGTATTTGGTGAATTCAAAAGCAACGAGTATTTAGTGAACTTGTCAAAAAATCAAGAGTATCTGATGAATTTTTGCCGCTCGAAAACTAAAGCACGCAAGCCGAGTCATTTCCCTTTGTTTAGTTAAGGATGAATAGGTTAGTTAAAGACTAACAGAGAAATGATCATTAGTCATTAACGGTATTTAATGAATTATTTAAAAAAACTCAGATGTTTGGTAAATTTTAAAAACGAGGGTATTTAACGAATTATAAAAAACTCAGAGATATTTGGTGAAAAAACCAGAAGAAAAAAAATTACATGCATAACCCTCATTTTGCACGGAAATTATACCACCATTTATTTGATTTTTGATTACCCATCTCGATTTTTGTTTCATTCCTCAATTACCCCTTGTACTCAATCAATGCCATTCATTTTATTTTATTTTTCGGGTTTTGTTTCTCATTTTCACCTATTTTCTTAATTCTCGTGAAAAATACCATTTAAAACAAAAAAAAAATAAAAAAGAAAAAAAAATAATGACAGAGGGATAATGAAAATCACTATTGGACAAAATGATCAATTTTCCCCACCCAAGCATAAAACTGAACAATAAAAAACCCCCTTCATTTGTTCCATTTTCCCTCTTTTGGAGCATATAATAACACTCCTAAATAACAAGTAGAAAGCTTTACACTGAAGCCAATTACTTTGTGGTAGTCGTGGACTCTGCTCAAAACGTTCCATATACATGAACCAAATTGATTTAAAAGATTTCAAACTAGTGTGTGGTTCCCTTTTGATCTTATCCCCACCTACAATGAGCAAAGTACACCCATCCACCTCTAACCTTAAGGATAAAAATACAAATGGTTTTAAGTAAGTACATTTCTCCTGTTATCTTAAAAAAACATCTGTGGCTTAGAACCATGGCCACTGAAAACGATGGATTTTCCGAAGCCCCACCATTCTGGTCAGAGCTAAAGCTTCCGAGCTTGCTCTCCGTCAATAGAGTTCAGAAACTTCATGCAGCCATTGAGAGTGACTGGAATCCCCTACAACGTACAGCATGCCAAACTGCAGCTGGAAGGGCCTTGTGGAAGCATGTGACAAATGACATGCTAGCAGAATTACTTGCAGGAGAGAGTCAGCTTACAAGCTTTTATGAGAAGATACGGAAAGACTGCCTCAACCAAGCCCGTGAAGTCTCTGGCGTGATCCTTGCAGTTCGAACCCTCTGGTTTGATTCAAAACTTGAAGCTGCAGTTAGTTTTTTCAACAATGATGTGTTGCAGGTTGTTCTCCTTGGTGCAGGTCAGTCACTTGTATGCTTTATTCACATTTGTGCAAACTTTATACATGGAAATATTCATTGTAGATAATAAAATACCAGAAACAATTTGCTGTCATGTCCTGCAGTTACTTGCAATAAAGCTATTTTGCATTAAATAATGATATATGACACATTTGCAACTCCATTAGGAAGAAAATGTAATCCAATTAATGGATCACCAAGTTATAAATATAAGCAGGCTTAACAGTTGTAAAATTCAAAAAGATTATGGACAATCAAATTTTAAAACTATATTTTTGGCCTAGGATTACATACATCAAATTCACCAGTTGTAAAATGTGATGCATGCTATCAAAGCCATATCTTCTGTTGCTTTCAAGCTTCCCTTTTCTTAAAAGGGGGACCGGGGGAGGGGTGGTGGGCGAAAGAGGGGAATATGAGCACAGGCGGATTCCAAAGATGGTCCAACCCAACAGATCTAAGCCATAGCTGCCACCCACCTATATTCGTTTGATCATGTAGAATGGTAGATCATACAAATGAAACAATTACTCCATTGGCAATCAAATTATCAAAAAAATCAGATAAAGTTATTCTCGAAATTCATAGAAGACAAAGACGTAAAGACCCAATGATAAGGATATTACACACCAAATGATAGCATTTTATAACCACTTAACCCTCTTTGAACCAAATGAGCATTGTTTGACGAGTCAGATAGTTAATATCCTCCAATACTATACCTATCACAATCAACCTGTCAGAGAAAACATCACTTAAGGCTTCGTTGTTTGGGAGCTGATAAATGCAAATCATAGGAAGATTGGTCCTTCAATGCAGTAGTATGATTTCCCCACAATGAAGCTACATCTTACCTGCAAGAATCCAATGTTGTTCTATTATATAAAACTATTTTATGATTTCTTTGAATTCTTTCAACATCAAAATTCATTGATTCTAGATAATTTTTTGCAGGTATGGACACAAGAGCATATCGGCTAGATTGCTTGATGAATAGCCACGTCTTTGAGGTAGATTTTCCTCAAGTCCTGCAAGTGAAGGCATCTCTTCTACAGGAAGCAATGGTACCCAAGGAAGACCAGCAAGAAATGGAAATGAAAGCTAAGATGCTAACCAGAGTGGAAGCTGACATCACAGGGCATGATTGGCTGGAAAAGCTTCAAAATTCAGGATTTGAGCCGGAGAAGAATACTGTGTGGATTCTTGAAGGAATTCTCTACTATCTGTCCAATTGTGATGCTATCGACGTGCTAAAGACCATAGCTTCCCACAGTACTCTTACTACTACTGTGTTACTGGCAGATTTCATGAACAAACAATCAACCATGCTTTCAAAGTCTACTTTTCAATTCCACTGTGATTGGCCAGATGAACTCCTACCTTCTTTAGGATTTTCAGATGTAAAGCTATCACAAATTGGTGATCCAGACGCCCATTTTGGGCTTCTGAATGATCCATTGAATATGTTTGATAAACTCCGCACCATACCAAGGTCAGTCGAAGTAAACCCAGAGGATGGAACACCATGCTGTCGCCTGTATCTAGTACAAGCTTCTAAATTTCCAATTAGAACAGCTAATTGATCATATTGTAAACTGATACATAAACTGATAAGTCTCTATGTCTTCACATATGGTGAGAGAAGTTCGAAAAGAATCTAAAGAAGCCACATGGATAAATATATTAATTAGAACATTTACAAACAAAGCACATGATCAAAAGATAGATATTGGTACCTCGATGGACTAAAATCGGCCAAAGCATGACATATGCAAAAGAATCAAACAGATTCCAGGTGATCCTAATGTTTGCTGTCCTGTCAGATTTCTTTGTTTTTTTTGGGCAAGTAATAAAGGGTTTTATAATAAAGCACAAACTCACCAAGAGGTCAGCACAACAACACTCTTATACAAAAAGAGAGCTAAGGATTCCTCATTTAAGCATAAGTCACAAGCTAAAACTTGACACTAAACAAAAACATCACAACTTGGAATTTGAAACCTTTAAGAGGGGGAGCAAAATTTTGTTGGTCCCTTTTCTTTCCAAGTGCAGCAATAAATATACAATGGAATCACATTTGAAATTGCAGCAAACCAACCTTATTTTTGTTCTGTTCAAGACAACAAGCACATATTTTACCTAAAGTTAAACGCAGCTTAATCCAAACAAGGCTAATGATAAATGACAAAGAGAATGGACCCATGGTCAGGCAAAAAAAAAAAAAAAAAAAAAAAAAACAAAACAAAACAAAACAAAAACAATAACAAAAATAAAAACAAGAACAAAATGATGATCTAACGGTGAAATTTGTAACAACTAGCTATAAAAAAGTTCCTTCGCATTAGAATGACCTCAGTTTCATCACAAGCAACAAAGGGCATCTTGGAAAACAATTATAACTGAACTTATTGATGCTGCCAGCCCATTATGAATTACTGAAAGGAAAATGAAGAACCCATATGATCTTAACATTTTAGACACAAGTAATGTAGTCCTCCTCTAATTCTAAACCCACATCCCTATACAAAGAACCAAAGAAAAAAAAAAAAAAGGCTTTTAAAGTATGACTTCATATTATATATCCGTACTTGGTCCAGTCTTTGGGGTCAAAAGTTAAAAATGATTTATCAATCAAAATTTCAAAATAACATAAACGAGTCAAATACATCAAGATTAAAAAATGCATATCTCCCAAAAATGCATTATAACAATGAGGGACAGAAAAATACAGATTTAGGGCAGCTAGTATGACCAACATGGGCATGATTAATCAAGTAAGGCTACAAAATCAAAGCTCACAGCTGCAAGAATGCAAATTCATCTTCAGATAGACTCGAGAGTGACCCTGATTTGATCACTTGTCCAAAACTATTGGATGTCAATTCACAGTTTCAGAATTACCCATCAACATTTACCAGTAATTCAGTAAAACAAATTCAAGCTTTTTTTTCTCTATTGCAATTTAGGAAAAAGGAACCAACATGGTAACGACTCTGTAAAGAGCAGGTGCATATATTTGTATCAATAGTGAAGGGGGCAAACTATATTTGACAAGATATTAAGGTTTAAGCTTTAAAAAGATTGGGTCACTCCCAGAGTAAAGTCTACTGTTTCACATCCATTAACTTCTAAATACATACAAGATTCTCTACGACGAAAAAACCCATGGTTATCCAGTTGGAAGTCAAACGTCAATGCATCCTTTGATACCTTGTTCAAAATTGTTGAGAGACGACAACGAGTCCATGACAGCATTTGCAACCTTTTGTCTGCTTTACATAACAACAAACAAAAGTCTGCAGGTAATTTCTCAAATTATCCAAGTTAACACATAATATTAAGTAAATTCTACTCACTCCAAACCTTTGCACATGTCTTTAAAAAAAGGGGTGTATTGGATGAATAGGGTGAACGAGCTTATGAAATCAAGTAGAACAAAGCTACTGTTTGTAAACAAAGATGACAATTATTTTGGAATTACTTAAGATGGCAAGGCATTTAATGACATGATAAATTTACCAATAAGAATATAGAACTTGTACCAGGTGTAAATGTATTTTAGTTATAAGTTCTTTACTGAGTGGTATAGTGGATGTCACATAATTTGTACCTCAAAGATAAGAATCATGGAATAAAAGTAACAAGGAACCATTAATATTAGCCCTAACCAGCAATAACCACCGAAAAAGTAGGATAAACATTAACCAGTTAAAGTATCTCATAAAATTTACTACTGCCATCTTTAATAGGTTTAAATAAAAACCTACAATCTTGTATGATTTTAAATAATTATTCAACTTCCTTTTAAAGTAAGGTCACATTCTTCTATACCTTTCAATTACTACAAATATCTCTATATGCTTAACTCATTCAGACATGAGATGTTAATCTGGGAATTAAACATACTTTTTCGGGACTTATATTGTTCCCACTAAACTAAAAATGGAAAAGAGCCACATACCTATCTGAGACAAGTTGAAAATCTGCTTCCTTGGCCACACCATTCAGAAAGGTGAATGATCTACCCCCCAAAAAATAAACAAATCAGTTAATAAATGTGTAAAAATGCAATATATAAGAAGATCAATCACACACTCAAACAACACAAACAAGAGAATTCCAATATTTCAAGTTAGTAACGTAAGAAGATGATCCAAATCAAAAATTGTAAGGGCAACTGGAAATGGATAAGAATACGAACTATCAGAGTTTTCCTTATGTACCAAACATGCTGAAGCGACACCAATTCAGCAGCAAGTATTTTCAAGAATGCCAACAAAAGTAGTAAGTAATCATAGCCAATATATATCTAAATTTCGCTTGACTTTACTTGATTAAAGATTGAAATTAAACAATTTAAGGCCTTTAGAGAAATGCCGTTTTCAAGGGTTCCAGCCTTCTAGGTTACCTGTCGTTTTTCCTTAGACTACTCCAACGTCTGTTTGTGATTGTTTATGGTGGGAATGGCTGTTTGTGGGAGGAGAGGAGGAAAAGTGAAGAAGTGGGAGTAATGGTTGCTTTCTTCTAGGGAGGAAGGGAGAAAGACTGTATTTCAAACATGGGGCAATGATCCAAAAGGGAAGAAGAATTAAGGATAAAGACAAGGGGAAAGGAAGAGAGAATGAAGGGCATGGTCTGTGATTATTTGACGATAGGACAACAGAGTTGGTGAAGCTCAATTCCTTCATATATATTAAGGCCAAAGACAACTTTGAAGAGTTTAAGGGCTTTATGCACGTTTTGATGTGGATTAAGAGGCTGAGTGACTTGAAAACAGATTTCAATTGAAAACCCATGCATCAAAACTTCAAAAGATTCAGTTTGGATTATGTAGAAGGGAAGGAGGGAGACAAGGGTGAGAAGAGGAAGATGGAAGAAAAAGAATTGTGAGGACAATATGACTATGATGATACTCAAATTGTTGCCAAATTCATAGCATTATGTTATATAAACTTCCGTTTTCTGATTCAGCCATGAAATAACACATTATGTACCTAGTATTATTCAGAAAACCTTCTAGAGGCGCCGTGGTTTCCACTTTATCAATTTTCTTATGCATGAGTTATATTTTCCCTTGTCGACCTGTACCCATTACTTTGAGTTGGCCACCAGCTTTATAATACCCTTAAGGAACCTATCACATCCTACGCTTCAATATCAAAAACTCTTAATACTGAAAAACGACAACACAAGTCCTTAAATTTGTGAGTATACTGGAGGCTACAAGGTGGCCACATTAGCTAGTACCTATGATATAGAAATCTTCATTTTCTAATTCATCTAAGGTATCACTCGTTACATCACTACACAGCAACAGCAGGAGAGACCCTTCTATAGAGGCTGCATCTGCTTCCTCTGAGAATGAAGTGAAGCAATATCAACGGTATCTTTGAAATATCACAATGACAATTGTCCCAACTCAAACATTTCCCCCTTCCTTAACATTTTCCTAACAAATTCCCATTGTCTAGGCCTAAGAAGGGGGGGAATTAGAAAGACGGAGAAAGAAAGCATTACACTTATTTTCCGAAAATAGAGAAAAAAGACCCAAGGCTCCAAAGTCTAACTATTTTGTTAAATATTGTCAATTTGTTACACTTTCCCCAACATAAATTGCATGACTTTATAAGAAATAATTTACATCGAGATGGGAGCAAAAACTAATAGAAACACAATATTTCTCCCTTCAACTAACCAATAACAATAAATACAAAGTCTAATAACACCTGCAATATCTTATAATTAAATGATGTTTAACGACTATCTTGCTTCATATGATTAGATTGCATATATTGACTTCTGATGTATATAACTTTATGCATTTAAATTAATGTAAGAATTTTGTTTAAAAAATACACTGAGGATGTAATTAAAGAATCAGGCCACAGATTTGAGCTCCCATATAGCACTTAACAATATTAGAAACAAACAGATTTCAAATTTTGCTACTAATAATTGGTGTCATGCTTCATCTACCTTATAAGATCACTTAGTCTGGCTTCAGCTTCCAATTTGGCAGAGTCACCATCGTCAAGTAATGATGATGCATTAGTCACAACTAATTTAAACGTGCAAACCTATCACCAACAAAAACAGGAGGTTACAAGCTACAGACAGAAAGTCAAACAAAAAACATTCTCTAGACAAATTTTATACAGTCACCGACAAGATCATATAAGTAAAACAATTAAAAAAAAAGGTGGATTTTGATAATATCAGGATTACACCTCCAACATTCGCCTCATATATCGATGCATGTTTACATTTTACAAACCATGAACCAATACAATTACTTTCTCATATTTCATTTGAAGATCTGCCTTTTCTAAGCTCATCACTAAATGAACAAGTACATTCACAAATTCAAATAAATACTTCATTTCCAAAACAAGGTCTTAAACTAGATTTTGCAAATTATTAAGAATTTTAATTTTATTGGAGCCATGTATGAAAGAAAAACTTCCACGCAAAATAAGACAGAGATACCTTGCATTTTCAAAATAAGTCCATGATACTTGGAAGGCAACAGATCTTTCTTAAGAAAGATATTGGCTCAAAAAGGGTAAACAAAATTGGGACTGTTGAAAGATTGAAAGCTAGATTAGTAGCTATTGGGTGTCAACAAGTCAAAAGGGTAAGATGTAAAAGACACCTTCTTGCTTGTTGCAAGCAATTGTTAGAATTGCCATTGCCCTTTTTATAAGTTCACATTTTACCAGTAAGTGTACATGAGAAAGCTACTAGAAACATTATATGCCTATGAGAATTCTATAATTTGCAGCAGGAAAGCATGTGTGGTGATGTAAGATTTTCTACACTACATCGTCCGCCATAAATCAATAGATTAGTGTTAGGGTAAAATTTTGATAGTGATTCACTAATATGATCCACCAAGGTTTCATTTTTATTTCTAAGTCAAGATGTTATAACTATTTTGAAATGAAGGAAGTAATTGAAATTTAGGAGATAACTATTTTTGAAGCCATGACTGATTTGTGAAACTCCATAGAATTAGACGATAAACAAATGTGATCTACGTATTAAGATTTTTAAGAAGTTAATAACTAGTAAATCTAACACGAAATATACAACTTGCTACATAATACTTGACCTTTACAACAATCTATAATTCTTTTTGGTTTTAACTACTATTGCTAGTGAGAATTATGAGAGGAGGGTTTTTGAAAGTGTTTGCATGAAATCTAAGAGGATCATATTGGTGGAGCATTTCCAAAATATTACCCAATAAATGATTTGTGGTGATGGATGAAGTGTGTACAAAAATCTATATCACCACACATGCTCTCTCACTGCAAATTCTAAGAAGTCTCATCAGCATATAACATTTCTAGTAGCTTTCTTGTGCACATGCTAGTAAAACGAAGAAACTTCAGCACAAAATGCCCCAAGTTTGCCAACATATGTTATTCCAAATGATTTCTTAAGAAATCATGATAATGCAAGATAATACTCAAAGATTCTAGAATTGTTTATCGACATGGTATAATAAAGTATGGGCTTGTATAGTTTGGGTCACACTAACTATAATATACATGAAATTCCTCCTGGATATAACTAAGTGAAGTCATATGAAATATGCAAGTTGAAAAGATCATTATATGGTCTAAAACAGGCTTCTAGACAATTGAATTAGAGCTTTGTAAATTTAAGCTAGGGTTGGGTATTACTCGATCTACTCAAGATCAGATTTTCTAAAAAGAGACTTTGATGGAGAATTCTTGGTGGTATTGATTTATGTGGATGAACTGTTATTGACCGGCAGAAGTCAATAACACATTTAAGCAAAAACTTGATATAGCCTTCACCCTTAAAGAACAAGGATACTTGAAACACTTAAACTTTAGAGTATTAAGAACTACGGAGGGTACAATAACTCAGAAGACATATGTAAATCATATTGTTTCATCTTATGCTGACCCTCCATTGGTTTTTAAAATCAGCAGCAGATCTTTAAGTGCTTACTACATATTTTAGAAGATAGATTGGTGTCAAGAAAGACTAAAAAGTAGAAGGCTGTCAGCAAATCATCTGGCATGTCCAGTAATGCAAGATATTTAGTCTGCTTAACAGAAAATTTAAAAGATCGCAGATTCTTCCCCCCCCCCCCCCCCCTCCTTCTTCCTGCAGTCACGCAATGTGATAAAAACCAGCAGAATACAGCTCTATCCTGTCTTCCACAAGGACAATGCATATCATAAAATGACTACCATTACCCTCGAGAACACGTAGATGCAGGGTTATGTCTTTAGTTAAATGCAAAAGGCTGATCTATTCACCAAGGTTCTTCCTACAACTTAGCATTACTATTAATCTTCCAAGCTTGGACTTACTTCCTAACTTACACAACAAGATTGAGGGAGGTGTATGAGAGTTGATTACTATCTATTAGATTAACAAAACTCATCTCAAGCTCTTCTTTCTCTCTACTACTTTTGAGAGCTTATCTTTACTACAGAGTACATTAATAACATCATCTGGGACGAATACAACATCTATAGTCCAAGTGAAGGGGTTCAGAACTTCGGATTCCCATTGCCATTACAACAACCGGCAAAAATTGATCAACAAATCATTAAACGACGACAATGAATAAATTATAAGAGGAATCAGACCTCAACACCAGTTTTAGCTTGAAATGCTACCAAAGAATTCCTATCCTCAGCAACACAATCCCTAGCAGCAGATTTTAACATCCCTTGAATTTCCTCCAAATCCTTCTGCTCATAATTGACATCCTTCGCCACTATTTATTACAAAAAATAGATAATTGTATAAATAAAGGGCATAAATTCAAATTTTAAAATATGGCATTTGGCATTTTGGCTGCTTTAACCAAAAAAAAAAAAAAAAAAAAAAAAAAAAATCTACATACTTAGCAATTGATAAGTATAGCGAAGAATTTCTTGGGAAGCATCAATTGGGGCTAAAAGATACTTAATCGACTTCTTTTTCTGCTCTCTCAACCAATCTTTTGGTCCAGCTGCAAATATTTTGACAAACAAGATCAAAATTTAGGGATTTTCAGATAAAAACAATCAATTTCAGTTCAAATTAAGATGAAAAAATACAATTGAAAGGTAGAAATGAAGAAAATTAAGAATACTTACAAATGCCAAGGTTGAATGCAACTGCAGGAGGAGGTGATGCGAGAAGAAAAGGGGTGATTGAGAGGAGAAGAGAGGTTTGTCGTCGAGAAATGGCGGCATTCGTCGGATTATTGGAGAGAGAATTTGGGAGTTTTGGATTTGGAGGGAATTTTGGGGAAGATGATGAAGTTGAGGTTGAGCAGAGTGTTACTGTCATCATTTTCGCGCCTGGTGCTGGTGAAGGAGCATGAATGACTGATAGGCTGATAGTATCAATATCATGATGATGCATGGGCCCCGTTTTCTCACCTTAATCTTGTCTGATTTTAATACTTTCTCCGTTTATTAGTTGACACGTTTTTATCGGGATACAATTTTAGCAATTAATATCTCTAATTATCGACACTGTAAAATATTATAAAAAGTGATTTTTAATTTTATTTACATTGAGACATTTCAAATAAGATCCAACATGATGATTATGTTTCTCCGTAATTATAAATCGCAAAAACTAGTCAAAATATAGTTTGTAAATAGTACAAAAGTAAAACCGTGTCAACTTACAAAAACGGAGGAAGTACGATCTGAATTTTTCTAACATGGTTTTCTCGCCCGAATCGTTCATGCTTAGCCAACAGAATGGTTTGGACGTTTGAGAGATCATGTTGGCGCAAAGGACCTTGACCCTCGTCAGGTTGTGGCGTATCACTCAAGTTACTGGTTCGAACTGGACCTTCTCCGGCAATACGCTCGATGTGGTAGCATTTTTTTTTTTTTTTTATTGTCTTTCTCTTTTTTTCGAGGAATGTATCAGACAAATGTTATCTAGGTAGGTGAATGGATTGACGAAACTTTGACTGCATCAATATATTTTATATTATAAAACAAGCGCATCAATGTGAAACTAACAAATGGCGTATATGATCTGGATGTCTTGTATATTTTATATACACTTCATAGTATTTTATATGTAAAACAAATCTTAGCATGTTTGTTTGCATAAATTTTTTGGTTAGCTATTATTAAATAAATCATATACTCGTAGATTCAAAAGCAATTATTTTTGTTGATATTATTAATTCTAATATTTTTTACGGTTTTTCTAACGGTGCTCATGGGTAGAGCTGTTAAAAGTTGACTTGACCAGAAAAATTTACCCGAATCCAATTATTAACCGGCCTGTTTAAACTTGAAAAAAAGGTGACCCGAATCCGATATGACCCGACTTGAAATCAACCCTGGACCCGAGTTAACCTGAGTATTTGAGACCCGAACCCGAACATGAACCGACCTGGAAATGACCCGACCTGAATATAACCCGTAAATTATTGACCTGAACCGAGATTGACCCAAACCCGTTTTAACCCGTCAAAAGCCGAATTTAACCCGACCTGTTACTAACCCGACCCGAATTTAACCCGACCTATTACTAACCCGACTCGAATGTAACCCGACCTATTACTAGAACTGTTAAAAGTTGACTGAACTGAAAAATTTACCGGAACCCGTGACTCGATTGATATGACCCGACCTGAAACTAACCCTAGCTAAACCTGAGTTAACGCGAGTATTTGAGACCCGAATCCGAACATTATATGACGTATTTTCCAAACTTATCTTCTAAAATCTAAACTAAACTATCTTATTGGATTAATATGAACTTATTATATATATCTTATCTAAACTTATTTGAACTTATTAACTTAAATAAAACTAGTCTGAAATTGTTTCCTAAACTGAGTGGAACTAATGAAAAATAGATTAGAATAGGGTCTGAACATATCTTATCGAAATTAATATGAACTTTTTATAATTTATCTTAAATTTACATAATCACAATTAGTTCGAATTTGAACTTATATGAAATTATTTATCCTAAAATAAGCGAAAAAATGTAATAAATGAAGAAATTGATAATGATTAAACATAAACGTCAATATATGAACTGTTAATAAACCGACTCGAAAAATATACCCGAACCTGATATGACCCAACCTGAAATCAACCCGAGACCCAAATTAACCCAAATTTGAAACCCAAACCCGAACATGACCCGACTTGGAAATGACCCAACTTGATTATAACCCGCAAATAATTGACTTGAACCGAACCCGACTCGAACCTGAGAATGACCCTAACTCATTTTTACCCGAATTAAACCCGACCTATTGTTCAGCCGACCCGAATGTAACCCGACCTATTATTGACCCGACTTAAACCCGATAAGATGTATGACCCGACATGACCCGACTTAAACATGACCCAACCGAAACCCGACCCGCATAGGTTACGATATTAACCCGAGCTGACTCGACCCGAGTTGACCTGACCCAGACTAACCCGACTCAAATCCAACCCGTTTATTCAAATTGACACCTCTACTCATGGACACACATTAAGAAAACAGATTCCCTATAAATATTTGATGAATAGAAATATTTATATGCTTAAAAAAGGTAGGTTAATCAAATCATTTGGAAAATAAGAAAACCTTCATTATATCCTCTATTACAAGATTTACCACATTTTTTCCTGATATTTTATTTAATATATATTAGTCAATTTCCTAATACAACAAGTAGAAAGAAAAAAATTTAATTTGATATGACATTGTATACCATTAAGCTTTTGAATACTCTGCTAGGCATGGTTAAGAATGGTGGCAATTTGATATGACATGGTATACTATCAAATTTCTTCAAGTCATTGGTTTAGCCATGGATGTTACCAACTGAGGTTCACAAACAACGTTTGGCATTTAAGTATGATGGAACATGAATTTGAGGGAAACAGAGAACACATTTTGCAATTGGATGCATTTCTTTTGTTATCATAATGATAGTATATTTGCAGTGGCGGAGCCAAGATTTGTAATTCGGGGGACAAATTTCAGATGTTTAATAAATCGACAAAAATTTTAAGAAAAAAAAAATTGATTATATAAATTGTTTAATACTTCCTCCGTTTTTATTTAGTTGCACGTTCAATTTAAGCACACATATTAAGTAGAAGAGAGTGAATGAAAAAAAATGATAAAGCAAGTGGAGTACACTAGAAATTCAAGGTATAAATTAAAACTTACCCAAAAAGGAAACGTGTCAATTAAAAATAAACTTCCTTAAAAGGAATACATGTCAACTAAAAAACGGAGGTAAGTATATATTTGAAATCGTAAATGAGATATGACAATTTTGTATTCTTATATGGAAAAAGAGGAGTTGTTAAAAGTTTCATTGCATATTAAGAAAATTAACAACCAAAAAAAATAAATTTTTGCTGGTAAACCCTAATTTTAAGTTATGTAATTCCTAATAATCGATAAATACGATCTATCAAATAATAAGTATTTAACAAAATGATAATAGATATAAAGGGATTTGGGTTACATTTGAAAAAAATAAACACAACTTTCTTTGACTAATGAAATTATTACAATGTATTGTAAAAGTAAAATTTGAAACTTATTCCAAACTATTAATAAATAAAAAAAAAAAAAAAAAGCAGGCACACATAATTATAGAGATAAAAAAAAATAAAAAAAAATTACAGAGATATGTATTCATTACAAATAGTTGAAAACACAATAGTAATCACTATCAACAAGGTGGTACTTGATTAAATAGTTAAATGAGAGTAATTAAAGGTTTGAATACTTATAATGTTTTGTATATATAAATTATATACTATAAAATTAAATCCAAAAACAAGTTAAAAAAAGGGGCAAAATAAAAAACAAGAAAAGAAGTTAAATGGGAGCCCTTTGTGTAAAATATAAACTGAAATTAAAATAAAGTCCAAAAACTGGAAAAAGAAGAAAAAAATTAAACAACAAAATGTATGGATAAGGAATTAAACTTGGGAACAAAGAGAGAAGCAAGCCTTATTAAAGCCCAACAGCAATCGGATCATATATTTATCTTCCTTATCCTTACCTTATAAAAACTATAAGATAACTCTTAGGAATAGTGTGCTACCAACTATACCCTCAAAAATGTGTACAAAAATATGTACAAAAATGTGTATTTACACTTTTACCCTCATTAATATGTTTACCATCATTAATATATTAAATGTTTTTTTTATTAAACATATTATCAATTAATTCAAAGTTTTATTTTATAAAAACTTGTAATTTTTTTTTTTTTTTTTGAAATGCTTTGTACTATGTTATTATTATTATTATTTAAAAAGAGAAAAAACGATATATTGTTTATTACCAAGAGACTGTTTACTTTTACACCTTCATGGTTGCTCTTCTTATTTACAATCTTGTCGTCCTTTAACAACAACTATAATATGATTTATTAGCTTTTGAAATGTACATTGTTTGATGGCACATAAACAACGTCATGGAATTGTGAATGTGATTCATATTAAATAGTGATATTTAAGCAGATGTTATTAAGAGGTATAAAGAACTTTGAAATCCTAAAATCAAAGGAAATCAATGATAGAATAAAAAAAGAAAAAAAAAGCTGGTGTTAATTGATTAGGGGATTTCTATCCACCAATCACCGTCTGACAAGTGGACCAACCAGGTTCCGCCACGTGTCCTTCACGAAGGCCAATAGGAGCCTGCCACGTGTCAATCACAGATACGTCCTCTACGGACCAATCGAGGCACGCCACGTGTCCACCCATGCCAAATGGGAAAAACCGGCCAACAAGGCCCAATCCTGTCTAGAGGCCCGGTCAGCCCTAGGTTTACCCTAAACCTAGAGAGTGGCACGCTTCTCAATACTATAAATACTTAATTAATCCTCACTAATTAAGCGATCAAGAATTCAAGAAAAGATCAAGCAATTGAGAGGCAATTGATCAAGCAATTAATCTCACCCGAAGAACAGAGAAGAACAGAAACATTACGGAACACTAATAACCGGCTAATCTCGCTAACAAAGCAGATTACCAACATTAAACACTCTCACCTAGAGAGGTCTTATTACTTTAATTTCCGTATTAATTACTCCTTAATCAGGTACTAACTTGACCGTTGGAGGCGGAGCTCTCAGGAGTCTCCGTTATTTTGCAGGTACAGGCGTCCGGTTCCAGTCTCGGAATTGTAACTCTCCCGCAGGACATCACAAAACCCCGAAACATTAATTATGAGAGAGAAAATGAAGGAATTTAAGAGGAAAAATATAACCAAGTGGTTATTGCTTTAGTATTAGATATACTAAAGCAATAGCCACTTCGTATATATATATATATATATATATAGAGAGAGAGAGAGAGAGAGAGAGAGAGAGAATCAAGATCATGTGAGACCCAAGTCCTATAATATTCCTAGGAACTCATCGTGACCGTTGATCGCTCTCAATCCAACGGCTCATGCTTCACCCGCCTTTTCAATTTCATTAAGGGTATTTTTGTAATTCGGCAGTTAAATGACCTCCCTTGTTTTTCCAGGCGGCGCTTCAT